ATATTGGGCTGACCTATGGGAGAACCCTAAGACTCATAATAATAAAACAAGTTGGCTCGCGGACGAAAAGAGGAAAACCGAAAAGATACCCATGATGCAGTACAACGTCATAACTGTGGAGGATGTTAAAAGATCTATAAACTTCTCGCAGAATTAGAAGACGCCTGGATCTGATGGCATCCATAACTATTGGCTCAAAAAATTCACTGCCACACATGAAACGTTAGCGATGATTTGCTCAAGTGTCTTGCAAGATCCAGTATCGATTCCAGCATTTCTGACAACGGGCAACACCTATTTGCTTCCTAAAATATTGCCTTCTGTTAGCGATCCATCAAAATACAGGCCAATTACGTGTCTTTCAACAATATATAAAATCATTACTTCAATTCTATGCGATCAAATTTACCAGCACCTTGAAAGGCATCATCTGCTCCCAGAAGAACAGAAAGGCTGCAAAAAAGGAAGTCGTGGCTGCAAAGCACAACTTACAATAGATACAATAATCACGGAAGAAGCAAAGGGCTGTTATAAAAATCTGTATGTTGCATACATTGACTATAAAAAGGCCTTTGATAGTGTTCCTCACTCCCTATTAATTGAAATGCTCCAAATATATAAAATCAGCCCTAATATAGTGAGATTGCTGCAAAACCTTATGCCTCAATGGAAAACTAATCTTGTAATAACCCATAAAGAAGAAAATATCAACATCGGTGCGTTCAGCATTAAAAGATGGATCTTCCAGGGAGATGCTCTAAGTACTTTATGGTACTGTATCGTATTAGCACCTCTATCTAGAAGAACGAAGGTTGTAAGCTTCAGAACAACCTACGAGTAAGCCATCTAGCTTACATGGATGACATCAAACTAATATCTGCAACTAAGGATGGACTGGACAGGTTGCTTAAAACCATAAAAAGATACAGTGCTGACACAAGAATGGAGTTTGGACAAGTGTAAGTTTGGGGCTATTGGAAAAGGCATATGGGAAGATCACCCAGGGTTTATGTTGGAGAAGGGTCAGATAATAAGAAGCGTGTCTGAGAAAAAGAGCTATACATATTTGAGATTATATCAAGCAAGGGGTATAAAACACAAAGATATGAAAGAAGCTCTAAAGCATGGATTAACGAGTAGGGTCAAATCAATACTTAAGACTCAATTGTCCACAATATACAAAGTAAGGACCATTAACACATACGCTATTCCGACAATAACATATAGGTTCGGAATAATCAAGTGGACTGACTCTGACTTAGAGCAGCTAAACAGAAACATAAGTCTTATTTACAAATCATAGAGCAAGACATCCCAAGACTTCGATCGAAAGATTCTACTTGCCAAGATCACAAGGAGGACGAAGCGTGATTGACCTTAAAGCAGCTAACCTGCGGAATATAGGAAACCTCAGGAGATTCTTTTATAGAAAAGGCGAAACATTTGCATATCACAAAAATATCGCTTCAGCTGATTACAAGTTCACACCACTGAACCTGTCGGATGAACAGTATGAACCTCTCATTCATGTGACCACCGACGAACAATGGTATCATCAATGAAAGTCCAAACAGCTTCATGGAAGACATCCAGCCATGCTTAACTTAGATCACATTGATGCAGAAGCGTCACATGGATAGCTGAAGAGTGGGGAGCTATATTCGGAAACTGAAGGTTTCATGATTGGCATTCAAGATCAGGTGATACCAATCTTAAACTATAGAAAATTCATCATAGAAGAAGGCATTGAAGATAGATGTCGTATATGTCATAACAAGTCCGAAACAATAGAGCATATCCTGACCAGCTGCACTCCCCTTGCTTCCACTGAGTATCTGAAGCGCCACGACAACGTGGCTAAAATAGCTCGCCGAGAAATTTGTTGTACTGCGAACATACTAACTGACCGCACCCCATACTACAAGTACCAGCCAATTCCAGTTATAGAAACTGACAGCCATAAAATATACTGGAATAGAACAATTCAAACAGATCACACCATGGAATACAACAAACCTGATATCGTAGTTCAAGACAAAATGAAGTAAGTAACCTGCATAATTGAGATTAGTGTGCCTGCCCCATATAACATAGCTGAGAAGCAGACAGAAAAGGTTCGCAAGTACTTACCACTAGCTGCAGAAGTAAAAACACTGTGGAATTAAGAAAAAGTTGAAGTCATCCCAATAGTGATCGAAGCCACAGGAGAAATACCTAACAGTGTACATAAATACATTGAGAAACTAAGCCTACCTCTCACTTCAGAAAGCTGCCATCTTAGGTAGTTGTCATATAGCACGCAAGATACTGAATGTAGCCACATAGACAAAGAGAAACCAATAGTCACACTCAGACGCTTGCAGTATAATGCCGCGTTTGAGGATATCACCTGGAGTAGCAGAGAATAGATAATAAAAAACGGAATAATAGTAATAATAATAATAATAGTAATAATAATAAAAATAGTAATAATAAGAATAATAATAATGTGATGATGTGATGATGTGATGATGATAATAATTAAAATAATAACACGCCTCTATTCGATTCTTTTACAAATACATATTTTGGGTAACGTGAGGTACTAAAAATTTAAAATTAAAGAATCGAAATGGCGGAGGGTTACCTTAAGGTATTTTCTAACTCAGCCATAAAATAAAATTACATCCATGACTAAGAATAGGGTCGTAAAATAATAAATACATGTGATTTGTGATAATTGCCTGATAATGTTTAAATCTATATAAGTATACATGTTTAAATTTTAAGTCATTTAATATAAAATCATGATGTCCATATGATGCGACTCGAAAAATCATACAGGCAGTCTTATTCTTGCTGAATTTTTGGAAATTGATCTCATTACTATCAGGTAGAAGAGGTGGATAGAAGCACTGCTTTTAATTTTTTATTGAAATTTATTAGACTGTAATTGTGGTACTCAGTTGGTAGACTGTTGTAGTGTTGGGCCGCAGTGTATGAAAAACTGTTCTTGTATAACCATGTAAAGTGGTGGGATATAACTAGGGATTGACTATTTCTTGTCGCTAAGTTGTTAATATCTTCAAATTTGTGTAGCTTATTGAGAAGGTACTCTGGTTTTTTATTTATAAAGGTCTTATCGACTAAAGATAGTGAATGGTATATTCTAAGATTTTCTAGATTCAATTTTCCATTCTCCTTATAAACATGACTGATATGGTCGCATTTTCTAATGCCAGGACTATAACGGAAACAAGAATCTTGGAGTCTCTGCAGCTTGATCTTATCACTTTGCAATGAAGCGGGTCCATATACTGCGTCATGATAATATATCATTGAAATGATTAGTGAATTACACAGCTGTAATTTTAATTCACTATTTAGTAAATGTCTTTGAGGATATAATTGTTTGAAGATACCACAAGATTTTGATCATAACTTCTTTATATGATGGTCAAAATTTAGTTCATTAAACAACCATAAACCCAGATATTTGCTTACAGTTACAACTGGTAAAGGAATGTTTTTGATGTTGAGCCGTTATAGATTTTCACTTTCTGTGATTCGTTTCTGATTTGGTCCATCATAACTTTTCATTTAGGAGCATTCAGTGTTATATTATGAGCAGCCGAAACGTGATACATGGTATTTAGATCATTACTGATCAAATCAAAGTAAACAGATGCATCACTGATGCGAAGACCATAATATAATTGTGTGTCATCTGCGTAGTGATGAACATTGCAGTACTTTATATTGTTAGAAAAGTCTGAAATATAAAGAGATAATAATAAAGGACTAAGAATGGAGCCTTGAGGTACTCCTATTGTTACGAGGATTTATTGAAATCGCTCAAATAAATTGATACATATTGGTATCTTTGTATCAGAAAACTTTTTATAAGTTGCTCAGCGGGACAGCTGAAGCCAAAGTATTTTAATTTAGTGCAAAGTATATCATGGTCAATGGTATCGATAGCCTTGCTCTAATCAAGTAACAATAAACAAACATTTTTGCTGTTATCGACTGAAAACACTAAATCATCGACTATGCAAGCTAAAGCTGTTGTAGTATCATAAGATTTGCGGAAGCCGGATTGAATATGTGGTAAAATAGATTTATTTGTAACATATTCCGAAATGTGTTGTTCAATTATATTTTCTAAGACTTCTGATAATATTTGTAAAATACGGATTGGTCTTAAGCCAGAAAATTGATTCGGATCAGATATTTTAGGTATAGGTATTACTTTAGATATTTTCCACATATCCGGAAATACACACGGAGTAAGACAGCAATATATTATACATGTGATATTATTTAGTAAGCGGTTCTCTAATAACAGTAGCATTTTCCGTGATATAGTGTCATGACCAGCTGCCTCGGTTTTGATAGCTTTGATGCAAGTAGATATTTCAGATGAACGATACTCAAAGTATTCATCAAGGTTATCACTAGGCAAAATATTATATTTAATAAATTCATCTGGAATTAAGTTCTGTCTACTTTAGGGAGGTTCGAGAAGTATACGTTGATTTCATCGGGCTTATTCAAATATTGCGGAATAGCGTTGGTAATTTTTTATGACACCTGTTTGACGGAACCGTTGCCAGGTTAATTTGGTATCCTTTTGCCTAAGCGAATATCTATAAATGCTTTTTTTATCACGATGCATAACATTTTTCGTGTACTTCCTCAATTCTTTGTAGTAGGCCCAATGTGCCGCCGGTTGACCAGTTCTTTTAGATTTGTTATAAGCTTTGGCCATTAATTTCGTTAGGAGCTCGATGTTATCGGTTATCCATGGTGGAATGGTTCTGGTTACCCTATATTCATGGATAGAACAACAAATATCATATACATGGACCAGTTCTTCAGTTAAAAAAGCCACTATGATATTAACGTCACTAAAACTAAAAATTTTATCCCAATCAATAGTTGTTAGTACATAAACAAATAACCCAAAATCAACATTCTTCCATACAGGACATTTAACTACTTTCGTTTAAATTAAGGAGCTATTTTCTTTATCAAAGGTACCAGAGACTAGATTATGATCAAAATTTTCATGTAAATGAATGGCTTCTTGATGAATTAAGCTCACAGTTTTCCTCAATATGACCAAGTCTTATAGTGTTTGAGTTGTAGATGTGATTCTCGTTGGAGTATCTGTAATTTGCTTTAAATTGTAAGATTCCAATAGATCTGACAAGATGTCTATAATATTACCGTGTGAGAAAAGGTCAATCTTCAATTTATATTCCCTTTAGGTGGCCTATATATGATAATAATAATATACGTGTTTCCGTATAATTTACTCTGTATCCATAACTGTTTAATATTGACATCAATGTTTTTATAAAGAGTAATGTATTTTATGCTGTCTTTAATATAAATTATATCTCCACCTCTGCTACTTCGATCTACCCTCTCCACTTGATAATTTTTTAATCATTATGGTGTTTGAATCGATAGTGGCGCCAAATACGTCAGTATTAGAATCCAAAATATATATTTTTTCACTGACTCGAATCCTGACGTAAGTGATCTAACATTCATATGGGCAAATAAAGTCCGAAAATAATTAATATTTTTTATTAATAATGAAGATTAATAAAAAGCAATAAATAAATGATACGTTTTTAAATAGGTAAATAGTTAAAATTCGATTTTTGATAAAAATTGGTCTTGTTAATATTTGAATACTGGACAATTTTGATCTGAAGCTTGATGGGTTATAATATTTGATTGTTCGTACTTTGAATTTGGAAAAATACAATTTGGGCATGATAATGAATTTGTCTTGCACATACCACCATCATGGGTTTGGCCACATTTATAACAAACTTTCGAATTCTTACACTTAACAGTGCTATGATTGAATCTGAAACAATGTTTACATTGGCTAGTTATATTATTATTGTATACTTTTAGCGTCTGCCAGTCCAACAACAGCCTACCTTCATTTTCATTAAGTATAATTTTGAATAGATCTCCAGTCGATTCTGCAAATATTGTGTAAGAATTGTTTGGTTTAATATAGTTAGTGTATGTTATTTTGATATTATCTACGGAAAAAAGTTTCCCGTACGATTATTGCTTTTATTATTTTTGGTGTAGGTTTTTCGCTGGTCTTGTATCCTACGATTTTTATTCTAGACTGAATTCTCATTTCTTCTATAATTTCATACTTCCGTGTTAGACATGTTATCACCTCATTTTTGAATTTATCCAAATATCGCTCTTTCATTTTGACTTCCACGCCTATAATTAATACGTATTTTTACCCGTTCGCCTTTGTACCATTACCAGGTCCTTCTTAGCCATCAACGTGAATGGATATACCACAATACAACATTGCCCGTCCGCAGTAGGCTTTCACGTCAATACTCGGTCATTAACGTCAGCGACCAATTACCTGCATTGCCCATAACATACGCTTTTGATGTATGTTAATAATTTGGCCGGTGCCACTCTATTTCATCCTTGTGTTTGAAGTTGAAGATAGTTGTGCTGAGGTAGGCGGAAAATCTGACGTTCTCCACCTACCAACGGATCGCCGTTGGAAATCGTCAGATTTTTCGCCTACCTACGCACAACATTTTTGAGTTTTTCAAACGATCACATCCATTTGTTTGCTTTCCATTCAAGTGTCTGCAGGACTACTAGACGTATAACGCACTGATGAGTTGCTAATGAGCACGTTACAGCGCTGGTTGCTGTTGGTTGTGGTTACAGAGACTGAAAGCAAACATGTCCATTTCAATTAAAGATATTTCTATAAAAATTTTGAAGTGTATGATTCAACTATTATCCTCTTTGAATTGAAACGTCATTGTAATTTCACAGTAACACTTCTGTACCGTACCGTGGTATACAGAAATTGGAAAATAATATTACGTGCCACATTAATTCATGAACATATGAACTAATTGACTAATACTAATATTGTTATATTATTACACATATTATATATCATTAATTATGTTTAGTGCACTTTATTATTTGATTAGATCATTATAATCATAGGAATACAACAGTCATCTCAAAATATATGTATCTTACGGCAAAAAGATAAAAAATCCATGTATTTCCCCATCGTGCGGTTTAAGCCGTTTACCAATTTGTAGGCGATTCGACTTTGTTTTGAAACGTGCTTCCCCATTTCTACAGCATATGATGTATTAAAATTATGCGTGTTGATCCACATTCTTCTAAACAAAAGTTTACGGATTCTCGGGCTCTGTGGACAAGTTGGGAAACGTTGATCTAAAAAATGAAACATCAGTGAACCTTCTGTCTTACCGTTTTCTGAGAGCTTTTCATTTCGTACTGTTCGGCTGTCCCGTGAGCAATGCAGGGCTTATGTCTTTCAAGCTTAGCGCATTAACCAAACATAGTATGAATGTACTGTGGTAAGTGCAACGTGGTACCATTGATAAGGAGCTTTATGTGCTTGCAATAACAAATGCATCGTTAAGCTAAACATAGACGCAACACCTGTCAGCATCTCATTCCTTGTTCGAGGACATTTCATTTATGGCCTGGCTGTGAAATTACTATTTTTCAAGTTTAATGTTCCTCTAGTTCCGCATAGTTGTATAGTAGTCCAATTTCCTTCTAGCAGGTGACAAAGATTGAATGAAAAGAAGACTAAGGGTAGATTTCACAATTTAACAAACCATTATTCTGCGACCATAGGGTTAAATATACCCAACCAGCCTCAAGGTCTCTCCGTCAAATTTTTGGCAGCAAAACAAAGCACTGTAAAATATGAAGTGACAGCTTGCCATTGAAATGTTATCAGTTTATTAAATAGTATGAAATTATGTAAAACTGTAAAAAAATGCTTGATGTCTGAGTAAAATCCATTTTTTCAGTTTAGCTGTAGGTTTCTCCATGTCTTCCTGTATTGCAATTTTTGTAATCCATATGTGATTATATTACCTACCGTATGTTTATAGTTTATCCTACATTTGCAAACTTGCACTTCCAAAACCTTACATGAAAAAGCCTTTTCACTCAATTTTTTGTTAGGTGTTGGGTTTCAACACATTCATACACTTCTTTCCAGTTCCTCAACGATATTTTAACAGCACTGGTCCAAGACTGTTCAAGATTTTCAACCTTTATACATACAATTGCAGTTGCAGTTTTTTATTTTAATTTCAGTGTATCAGTCGCACCATCGGAGATGGTACATGGTACACTCAACAATCACGTATTTGGAGGTTAGTGCAGATTCAACGCGTTCATGACAGTGTATGTAATTCTTTTTACACGGAAATTTGTTCCTCCAAAATTCCATTTTCCACAAATAACACAAGTGACCACAAAACATAGAGTACAATGACGGTGGAGCGGGAGAATAGACCAAAGAAGATCGGAATTGACATTTGGAATTAGTGTGTCATAATGTTAGTGATGGGAGGATACATTTGCAATCTGTGGAATGCATTGGAACGGTTAAAAAATATTAATTGAATCGTTTTTACGTTATATCGGCTGAAAGACTCTGCTCTGTTTCTGTATATATATTTTTGTGGTATTGTTGCATAAAGTAGTTTGTTCACGAACTAGTTCCTAGAACTGAACGCAACTTATTGAGATGAACTAGAAGGCACATCACAGTTTCAAGTAATCCAAGAAGGGACAAATTGTCATTTACGAGCAAACAGAACGGCTGCATTCAAAGATGGAAATTGAAGCAGAAGACAGTAGACAACACCAGCCCGATTTGTTTCAAGTTCTGTATGTTTCTGCAATGAGTGAAAAACTAGTTCAAAACGTGTATCAAAAAAACATGAATATATAAATTGGTTCTGTTATAAGAATTTGGAATATACTCTAGTCCAACACTGGTTTCTCGGAAAGAAAACGCGATTGAAAGCTGTCGTTCCAAATATTTTTAATCCGTTTCGATGTGTTCCTGACATACAGCTGTGTGTATTTTATACTAATTTCACCTTTAATAACACTTAGCAACACTCTCACATACTATTCTACTGATGATGATGGCATAGTCCATTGAAAGCTAGATACTAATAAAGTATAAAGAGTTCTCATTGCTTGAATATTCTCGAAGTACCCAACTAAAGGCGGAGGCTGTATTTTTGACCTAACTGATCTAGACGACAATGACCACGTCTCAAGATATATATATATATATATATACAGGGTGACTTCGAAGTTGAGTCATTTATTTTAACAGTGAGTAGATCTGATCAAAAGAAATGTTTTTTTCCTTTACCATTTTTCTGGTAAAATTAAAGTAACAAAGTTATAGCCCTTTGGAAGTTTGAGTACTGCCCTGTCTCAATAATAATATGTTCGTGTTTGGCGACAACGGATATAATCCGCCTGACCGGTTCATCGCATCGGAAACAAAAAAGCGAAAGAATTTGAAACGTTTATCACGATGTTTTTCGTCAGTCGATAACGCGTTAGTGAATATGTAGTAGTGTTTGTTGCGTGGCTCAAACGAAATCAAAAATGGCACATGTTTACGAAAATGCTGAACTTGTGGACATGATTCTTATTTACGGGGGGGCAGTCTTTACAAAATGCTCCCGGATGCATCACGGATTTATGCGAATCGGTTTCCCAATCGAGTGCAACCAACCCCTCGTGCCTTTGTTAATGTAGTACAAAGGGCTCGTGAATCAGGTGACTTAAGACCTCACAGGTCAGGGCATGCTGCTCCAAGACCGCACGATCAAATACAGGTCCGCACTGAAATACTTGTCGGGACGATACTTTATTAAACAAGGTAACATTTATTTTTATTTATTTTTTTATTTTTACACACATATTTTGGATTATATTCCTTCTACAATCATTATCTGAAAATTAATGACTCAACTTCAAAGTCACCCTGTATATTTGGCTTGCATACAATATGAGGACCGACTGTATATCATACAAAGTGAGGACCACCAGAACGAACGCAGCTACAAATGTTTCTTTAGGCATGATCTGGCAGTACGCCATTGTTATATCTGAAAGTGGCGAGTATACACGGAAAAAGCTATTTTAAATTGATGACTTGTATATTGGACAAAGTGAGGACCGACCGAGCTCCTAACATAACGAGGTCCGTATATTGAAACATTTACAGCAAACACAGTGAGGACCTTTCAGGATATATTCTCACTTAATGCATACAGAGTCAGGACCGTACATTGTAACTGGTTTTTCTCAAAGGTCACTTAATTTGACACGTAGCTGTGAGGCCAGGCAATAGAGAGAGAAACAGAAAGAGAGAGAGAGATAGTTGTTGACCGTTTCAGTAGCTTTAATAATTACCAAATAAAATACATTTCTTGAGTGCTTGATAACTGAGATCCATGTAGGAGAGTGAAACTTCCCGACATGCAATATTGAAATAACGTCAAGTAGTTTGACTCGTTCTGGAATCACAATAGTGTGAAACACCCTACCAAGCAGCATTAAAATGACGTCGAGTAGGTTGACTCATTCAGTTAATAACGTAAATAGGCGGATTAGGTTACATTTCGTGAGCGTCTGTGAAATGTGGTCTTTGAAGGATTGTGAAACAGCATTAAAATGATGTCAAGTAGGTTAACTTAGTCAAGAAATAACTTAATTATCGATTCGGATGCAGAAGAGTGAAACACCTCATTGTGCAGCATTATAAAGACGTCAAGTAGGTTAACTCATTCAGAGAGAGTGAAACACAACAATAAATGACGTCAAGTAGATTGACTCGTTAAGGGAATGACGATATCAGGTGGAACAATGTCAGAAACGGTAGGAGGCTGAATGGTACCACAGTTAGATGCAAGTGTGAAGTTATTAAATGACCTCAATTGAGATGCTTTACACTATAATCATTCCTATGAACACAGACATGGTGTAAAAAGTACCTTTGGTTTTTAGTAATGGATACCGCATATTGTTTAATTTGAGAGTACACGCAAATGTAGTTTTATAGCATTCCGAAAGTTGACCTTGAATTAGGTAGATACAAATTCATTGTAAGGCGGCAAGGAAGTTTTGGAATCCCGAGATTTGTGCTCGTGTAGGCCCGTGCGTGCACCTGTGGGCGACTCTACGTGTGGATTTATCATGAGTGGAAGGCGGTACGTGCCTGCATTACTGCTTTATTATTATCAACATAATATGAGGAAGCTCGTAATTCCGAGGAATGACCTCATGCGTGTTTTTTTATTATCCGTTGAAGATTTTGCCTCAGAAATATGGTTAATATATGTGCTTTGAAACTGCAAGTCATGCCAGCATAAATTAATTGAGTAAATGCATCAGAGGGGAAGTTTTTCATATAAAATCCGCGAAGTACAGCTAAGTCTTGCAAGTATTAACAATGTTTCCACTGTTAGCTATAAACTCTTTTCTTTATCTTAGGTGGATTATTATCAAAAGAGCAAAGTTTCGTGTGAGAAATTTGACAAAGACGATCCAGCGAGAATATTTTGAGATTTGTGCATGATAGACAGGTACTACTTTTGTCGACTTTTGATATGGGGTTGTTCTTCTAACATTCGAGAGATACCAATTTGCGAGAGAACTTTGAATCTTTATGTGCAATAAAAAAACGGAAAATCCAATACGACGTTATGGTAGCCATGCAAAGTTTCAGTCACCAATATATCCTTTTGGAAACGTGGACATGCGTGGCATCACTGTGATGTATTACAAGCGTATATCAATTACATAAAGGTTTCTTCTTTGGAAGAAAGTAAAGACAGCCACTTGAACGTCCTTCTAAGGATATCGCAGTTTCCAAACAGTTTCCAGTTACAATACTTTATTCACAAGTCAGATATTTATGTTCAATGAGAGAAGTGGTATTATTTATCTTGTTATATCAAATCTCACTTTCTACGAGTCACTCCTGTTTGGAACAAAAAAGCGAAAGTTGTTTGGTACAATTGCGAACAGAAAAACTATTTAATAACAGTTCGAACAGGCATGATCAGATTTATGAAGTTCCAGATTTATTGCAACTTTAATATAGAAATCAAATGCAGTGAAAGATAACATACTTACCAATCAAGGTGAATATGAATTACTGCACAAGGAGAAGGATTCAAATATCTCAATAGCTCACTTTTCAAGAAAATCGTCAAAGCATGTTCTTCAAAAGTATCATATACAATGATTGGACGATAAGGGAGTACAAGTATTCCTGGAGCACTATCACATGTCTTTCTTCGGAAAGTATTTACCGGACCGCCAGTCTCAATTTTCCATGACTTTTCATGCATATGCTTTCGTTAATGTCTCGCTGAATCAACTGATTAAAATGCATAATTTCTTTAAAGCACTTTTACAAATCAACGTCTCCACGAATTGTCATTTTCTTTACAGTATTGCACTTACTAATAATACAAGCCAATTTACTTGTAACTTCGGAAGGTGTTCACAGTTCGGAGTCCTGTGAGCTACTAACATCTCCGCGGTCTTAGCTTATATTTAAATGTAGCGGCTCGGGTGGTGGGGAGAGCTTTTCTGGAATCCTCGGCTGGCGTCGCGCTCGGGATGACTCGGCTATTGTTTTACCATTTGAACGACGCAATTTTTGTGTATTTTAATACTAGTAGCCAGGTTTTGTTTTCCTTTTCTTAAGTTGTCCCTGTGTTTGTGTATCTCTATAGCCTCCCTGTATAATCTAGCATGACCCGCTGGTATGTAGCAATGACCTGGGCTTCTTCAAATTTAATGCGGCGCTCCGTTTTGGTGAGTGTATGTCGGGCTACAGCAGATTTTTCTATTTGACCCAGACGGCAGTTCGCTTTGTGTTCTTTAATTCTGGTATTGGCTGATCGTTTTGTGGTTCCGATGTACATACTTCCACAAGTACATGGTATGTGATAGACACCCGAAGACGACCTTGTCTCTCCGGGTCTCTATTATCTTTTGCCGATCTCAGATTTTCACTTATTTTTATCGTTGGTTTGTATATTGTTTTGCCATTCTCCTTGAGAAGTAGACGTCCAATTCTGTCTGTGACTCTGGGAATATATGACAAAAATGCTTTGACCACTGGTTGGTTGTTTTCTTTGGCTCCGGCATTACTTGATGTCATGGATTTTCTAATTTCCAGCTTTGAGTATCAGTTGGCCATTAAGCTGTTTTTTAGATGTTTAAGTATTAAATCCAGTTCTTAGAGTTCACAGATTCTCCTGGCTCTTTCTGTTAGTGTTTTAATGATGCCATATTTCTGACAGGGGTCGTGATTGGAGTTCCTATGCAGATACCGGTCTGTGTGCGTTTGTTTTCTATATACCGTATGACCCAGTCATCTCTCTCGGCGGGTTAGTAATACGTCCAAGAAAACCAGTTTGACTTTGTCCTCTAGCTCCATGGTGAATTTGATGTTGTTATGCATGT